TATTCAAGTGTCAATATTTACAACCAAATTTGAACAAACTACCTCAACACACTAGTGTTTATATCCTTCTAACTTCCTATTAATCTTACTAAAATCATAACTTAATGGACAAACCATGAAATCACTATGTAAATAGCTCTTGAAGAAGATAACTTGCTAAATTGTTTTGAATGTCACGTGTGTCTTCACTAGTATAGCGGTACTCATTGTCAAAAAGCTACAAATTTTCATTAGATGTTCATTAGATATCTAAATTCTAAAGCCTTACAAAAATAGCTTGATTAAAATAAATAATAATGTAACTTGACATGTGTAAATTTTTGTTAGTTACGAATTGAATAATCTCATACATATAATAGATAATATAATACCTGCACAATAATCTCATACATATAATAGATAATATAATACCTGCACTTTGTACTCCCTATCTAGTGATGGTACTAAAAATTAAAAATCAAACAATTAAGTATAAACAAAACCATATATGAAGTGATTGTGGATAAAAAATATTGAATTCAAATTACTTATGTTTGGAAAGATCCATCAATGGAGGATTTTTTTGGGTACATGTTTTAGTGGGTGATGCTTTCCCCTGATCATATAATATATCTTCAGTGCTCTATCATGAAATTTAAATAAAACATAAAGTATTAAAACAATATAGATATCTAAATATCTAATGTTTATAAAAATAATCTTAACTTATGTGTTGAATATATTTTTAGTTTTAGCACTCGGTTGCTTGTCTATGGAACAAAACCAGTAGATCTTATGCAAATATAGGCATACAACACAAAGAGACCAATGGTAACTACAAAGGGACAAATGTAATTAGTGTTCCAAGATGTATTTTTTGTCCATTACAAAAAATTATGGCTTGTCTATACCCACAGTTCCTATAGGCATTATCAAATTGATAGGCTTTATCATTGCCTTGAGACATTTATATAATTGTGGCAAACAAGTCCTCAGCATCATTAGAATCCTAAAAAAACATCAAATGAATAAAAGTTATATAAATAATGAAAACAACAAGTCAAATAGTAATGAAGATTTTTTCTACCATCAGAATTGTCATCTCCATATCAATAAGTCTTTTAGGCCATAAAATGAATTGTTCTAGTGCTTTGCCTAATCTTTCAAACTCATCAATGGGGAATGGCACATTCATGTTCAGCTCAAGAACACCTCAATTATTAGCTTGACTTGGTCGTCCGAAATATTCATATTATGGAGTGTTTATACGAGCATATATACCCATGCTGATCTAACAATCTACTTTTTAGTTTTATCCAAATAAAGAAAACAAGCTTATTCCTCCTCTATTGAAGAAGGACTAGAGGTATGTGCTACCATCTTTGGTGGATTACAACTATCTTTAGTACTTTAAAGCACAAGAGAAGTCTGAAGGAATAAGTAAAAAAAAAAGAAAGAACATAAAAAATAAACAAAACTGAATATTAAAGTAAACAGAAGTAATGAAAACCTAAGGTTTCTGCTGCCCAATTCGCAACATAATTTCCATGTTAGTGACCATAGATTTGACCTCTTAAAGAAGCTACTCACAGAGTGATAGATAATCATGCTCATACATTTAAGAAACTTCTTCTCTAACCTTTACTAGAATCTCATCAAGCTTAGCTCTAGATACAACTCCTAACAAGCCTCTTAGAATTAGTCCGAAGTGTTCCTTGAGACCCACTCCTTTTCTTATGCTATAACATGACCAAGTTAATATGGCTTTTTCATTACTATTACCAAGATATCCATTCCTCCACTATATTGAAATGAATTTTAGAAAGTTTGTTCATCAAGTGAATCTTGCAATATACATTTAATGAATTTATCTCAAAAGACACAAAACTAAAATTTAATTTAATTCATTTAGTATAATTACTTACAATCCTTTAAGCAATTTTAGCAACTTCTAGAGTAATATATTGGCCTTTTTTTTATTCTCACCTCTTTTCATTTTCTTTGACAAGTTGGAGGAGTTAGGGGATGAACAACAATATTAGGGTCAAATCTTGCAACCTCATCCAATTGCTTCAAATTAGCTTACCTAAGCTTCTGATCTAACTTCTTATATCTACCTTGAGAAAAATAATGTTGATATTTATTTTTAGACTATCTCTCTTTGTTTATAGAACTTAATTCCTAGTATGAAATAAAAATAAAGTAAGTCAGATGTAAACTAAATAAAAATAAACTTAGTCAATTATTAATTATATCAAAATTTACCTAAAATTTAGGATCATCCAGTGACCTCGCAAATTATCTCCAAGTGTCATCATCAATAAAATTATATTCTAAACATGGATATTTTGTTCTTCTTTTCTCCTCGAATGTATTTCCTACAAAGTGATGACTTGAAATCTTTCAATGGATCACATACTTGCTGAAGCTAATACTTCTTCATCTTATCAGTAGGAGGGATATCATAAGTAAGTTGCATTGTATCATAATTATAAAGATAATAGTATCTAATATAACTAAAACAATAGAAAATAATAAAAAATATGCATACCAAAATATTATTCCAAATCTTGTCCTTCATAGCCTGTGGTACTTCTTGCCAATTAGGATACAAGATGCTAACTTTTCTCTGAGCTATGAAACCTATATAACTTATGAACTTATCCCTTTTGGATCAATTGGTCTTTTACCACTACCAAACTCTAAACATGAGAAATATGAGAAAACTCCTATTGGCAAAACTTGTGAGAAATATCTTTTGGATTATATGCCAATAGGAGTTTATCCAAGAGAAACTGCTTGTTTCGAAATATTTTGAGTAAAAAAAGTTTTCTTGTGAATTTTTACTCAATTAATTTTTCAAAAGAAAATTTGAAAGAAATATCTTTTCTTTTGGTTTTTTCTAATGCTTCTCTCTGAATAATTCCAAGAGAATGTGTTTTTTTTTAATGGTAACCAAAAAACACACTAGAGAGGAGTAGAGCTATAAGAGGGACTATAGAAGCTTACCTAAGTGATTAGAAGCCCAAACTAGCCTCTAAACATCACCAACAGTGAATCCTAATAGAGCCCTTTGTGTTCTATATCTCAGACTTCCTATCAAACCCTCAAATTTTCTATTTGAAAATCATCTCTCTTTAAAAGATAGACCTTAATTGTAAGTTCCCTAATGCTGATGGTAGATGACACATGAATGCCAGGCCTTATTTTGATTTATTATGCAAGTGGCCTAATACCACTTTGAGTCCAATCCTACACCCCATATAGGATCTAACAAGCTAAATGGTCATCTCCATAATAATTAACCCAAGTTAGACCTTAATTGACTAGTTTGTCATTTTTAATTAGCCTAATTACCCTTATTAAAATTTTTTAGTTGTTACACTGTGTAAGTACCATTTATGACACATAAGTGAGATCAAGTTTACTTGATTAATGACAAGGAGTGGATTTTAATCCGATCAAGGTCTAAGGATTGAGTCGCAACATTTTCCCTTGAGCAAATTAACTTGAATTTAATAAATTTGTTCTTCATCAAGAAGACATGAGAGCCTTTGGATTGCTGGTCAATAGTTCTTTGACCAGTCCATGGGCCATGGCTGTAAATTCCTTTCAGTCACCTTGAGGATTTATTGGTCATTGTCAACAGTGGTGATTTGACAATCTGTGCCGGTAAGAAGGTGGACATACTTTTAAAAAAATAAAGTAAAAACACAATGACTTCCCTTCTCATTTTGCTAAATTTATACAAACTTCATCTCCATTTTTAAATCTTACACTTTAGTTTAATTTTTAACACATTATAAATATTTTGTAAAATATTTTAAAATACTTAATTTTTTATTTGTAATTAAGTTACCAAATTTAAAATTATTAATTTACCTTTATGATCTAATTGGCTACTCTCTCTATCTCAATTTTAAAAACTTTAAATATTTAAAAATTTCAATATTTAAATTTCATTAATTCTTTAATGGTATGTTTGATTCATAAATAATTAAATAATTCTTTTAGCCAATTTATGTGTTCAATTTTAATTCTTTTATTCAATTTATGTGTTTAATTTTTTTAAAATTACTGAATAAATATTTTACATAATTAAATAAATTATAAAATAAATAAAAAGTAAAAAAAATATATGCATGAATTTTTTGGATAATTTAAATGTTTTTCTGACAATAGTTATATTTAAAAAGGGGTGACTTAACAATTAACTAGCAGTTAGATAGATGGAAATCAAATTTTAAAAATAGCGGTTTGTATTGGTTTCAAAAATATAAGGGAGATATATGTAATTAAAGTAAAATAGAAGGGAGGTCAAAGTATTTTATTTTAAAAAGTAAGGGTATTTTATCATTTTCCAAGTAAACTTATTTTTATTTTAGTTCTCAGATTCTTCAAAGAGAATTCATAATCTATTGGTCTTTTTGAGCTATAAGGCTTGGTTTGAATGGAGAGAAAAGTGGGAAGAAAATATGGAGGAGAGAAAAGTGGGAAGAGAAATTTATTAACTCAAAGGTCTCTAAGGACTTTATTGAAATTATGGTATTTTGAGGGATTAAATTATTATTTACATAATTTAAAAAGATTTTATTGTCATTTTCCCTAGCATTTTTAAAAGTTTTCTTTTCTAGATTTCTTTCACCCCTACTTTTTTCTCCATCCAACTCTTTTATGGTCCTTGCAGATGTTCCCATGTTTTAATTTGATTTGTGGATTATTTCTCTAATGGTTTAACGATGAATTTAATATCCTCTCATCCTTTAATATAATCATAATTTTTAACTTCCTACTCAGTAAATATTAACCTTGATATAGTCCTTTTAAAATAATTTTAATTACCTATCAAACAAGCCCAACTTGATGTTTGAAATCGTTACACATACACAAAACTAGCCACACAAAAAAATATAATAATAATTGTTGACTTTTGAATAAAATAAATAAATAAATAAAAGTCATGTTCATACCAGAGTCTGAAATCTTTGAAAAGTCAAATCTCACTTTGGAATGAAACTAACTAGATCATGAAGAAGTACAAGGATTTTCGTTACAGTACAACTGACCGGTACTATTACCAAAGAGCGATTGCCGTCTAGTGAAGTAACGAAATGGTAGTACAAATGAACGAAGGTTGGTGTACTACATATATCTCCAGGTTCGTTTTACAGGTACTATTTCACATATATATATATATATATATTCATTGATTATTGGCCAAACGAACCACAAGTTAGTGAAAGAGATTTGTGTGGAAAATGAATATGGAAAGTTGCCCAGAATGGAGAAACATCATTGAGTGCAGCGTTGATGATGATGATGATGAAGCCCGATCCTAATATACAAGGAACCTCGATCAGTATTTGATTGCCTTCATCGACGTTGCACTCAATCATGTTTCTTGTCGCTGTGGTATATATGCTGCTAATTAATTCTGGAAAACGCCTCTGAAGACTTCAAGAGCTGATATCCTAGCAGGTTATGTTTCCCTTTCCGTTGGTTTTTTCATTTTCACTAATTCTGACAGAAATTTTTTATTCTGTCTTTAGAGCTAATACTTTGTGGCAATAGAAATTTAGTTTCTTAAGTTTGCATTAATTATCAATTTGGATCCTTAAATTTAATTTTCATGAATCTAATACCTCATGTTTTATTAAGTTAGCATATTAGTCCTTTACCGATTAGAAAGCTTTCCTAATTTATTCGAGAGGTGGTGCCATCTTTAAGTAGGCCATTATAAACAAGATTTCTTTTGAGTCTTCAATTCCCTTGCCAATATATAAGCCCTCATATATACTATTTCAATTAAGAATGGAATGAGAATTTTTTTCTAGAGTTTGGTAGAACTTTGTTGCAAATTGTGCTTTCTTGTGGGAATCTTGAGGTAATGCATATGTGATCAAGAGTCTAACCAACTTTTCTAGTGTCTTAGAAGGTTAAGGTTACTAAATACAAGTGCTCTTAATTTTACTCTAACTAAATAATTACATATTTTAACTTCATTAATGTTAATTACCTCCTCATCAAAATAATAAGGATCAAATTAAATTAATAATTGAAATAAATTTAAATAGAAAACCGATAAAAATTAAACCTGGTGGATCAAATCAATAATGGACATAAACTTAAATGATTAAAAATTTCATTGTTTCTAATTTTTTTTAAATGTTCTTTGGTTTAATACCCGAACTAACTAACCAATCTTTTAATTAAATTGTATCATTGTGGGTAATTTTAAAATTTTAGGAGGTCTAACAAATTTGGGATAAAACTTTTAGTCTCTCAAATTTAACTTAGTTATTGATTTAATCTCTCAAGTTTAATTTTATTGATTTAATCCCTTACCCTTTTGTTTTTTTAACTCAACTAATTAATTTATGTCAAAAACATTGGTCCTCATTTGGGGGGGGGGGGGGCAACAGACGGGTAAGAGTATGACATTGGCCAAAGCCCATGTCTCTACTAACATCATGATTCTCAACACGGGGAGATTTGAACTTCTCTATGACACAATTAACTCTGGAATTTTACCGAATGTTTGTAGTCTGATTATAAAATTAGGAGAAAATGACATTCTAATTTCTAAAGCTGATTATAAAAAAAAAATGTCATAAAGGCCTTTTTAATTATTAAAAATTGTAAAAAGTAAAAGTTTGGTTGTAAAGTGGTCACTTAAATAGAACTGATGTAAAGGTACTTTAAATGTGGATCATGAATCTTTATGGTAATAATTGATCCTTCTGATTCCTGATTTTGATATCAATGTTCTTTTGAAGCCAAGTCTTATGGAAGAAATATAACAGTGTGAACAGTAAATTGCAGTGCATAACATGCCTGTGAATACAATCACAACACACAAAATTTCAAGTAAATTTGTTATATACTATAAAAAAAATCTTGTCTGAATTTTTCATTTCTTAAAAAAAATTTATAATTTGTTAGTAAAAAAAATTATAATTTAATCCCTTCTTTTGATATGAATGTTGTTCCTCACCCTTTGCTTTAGGCAGAGTAGAGGAGAAAAAAAAAAGGGAGGAAAAAAATGTAGATAATGTTTAAATTTGTTAACCAATTAAATAAAAACGTTGTTTAAATATGTAAATCTTTACCCATTGAAACCCAACAAGAACACACCAGGAGCCACACCAAGAGTTGTTGATGCTTATAGAATCCTTCTATATATATATATACATATATATACACCCGATTTCATGAAAAACGAATCTGTGTTAGCCCTTGTTAGTCATGACAACCAATGAGTCATGGCTGCCAAGCTGGAAGTCTCCCCTCTTTTAAATCTTGATTTTAAAAAGTTGACGCTTCTTTCTATAGCCCCTTAGTGGTGTTATTGTTTGAAAGGAAGAGTTGTGTCCTGGAAATTTTGAAACGTCGATGTTATTGTTGTATTCTTTCTTCTGTAGAATAATCCTCCAAGGCACCAAAGCGATTTTTAAGTTTCATGGACATCTTATTATTAAAGCTTGTATATTTTCAACTTAAAATTCTATTATTGTTCTTTCGTTTGTTAACAAAAATGATCACAATACAACAAAAACATTGAGCAGGGTGGAAGCTATATAAAAAGGCTTGAAGAGAAATCTGGTCTCCAAAGTAAAAGGCATGCAGATCATATCCATCTAGCTTCTAATTAAAACATGTTTTCACCATTAAGATTTTGACAGATTTTAGGTTGATTTCACAAGTAAATCTTATATTTTGAAGAGTGAGCCGGATATAAATCAGCCACAGTAAAAAAAAATGTTGTTTTTCTGCGTGTAAAACTTGTTGCTATGTATGTGTTATGTTAACATTAGTATCTCAAGTCATACAACTCAAATAACATTAAGTAAAGTAATATGCACACCTGAAGAATTCACAATTAATTGTGAATCCTCGATTATCTTGAGTTTAAGTAGACTCACACCTACTAAACCTTATAGGTCATAGTTTAAAGAGAGTACAAAGCTAATGGAGAGAGTGAAAAGTGTTGAGTGAGTTGGTTATTTGTTGATCGATTTATATAAACCATGTCAGTAACCACCTTAATTAATTAATTAATCAATTAATCTCTCATTAGTCTTGACTCAGTTAGTTAAGATATAGGGGACAACTGATAGCTACAGGGTTGTAGGTTAGCCCTTGCTTATCAGACTCACTTGTGTGATTCACCTATCATGATCTGTACAAGATCATAAAGATCAAACTGTTTAGACTTATTAATTATTGTAAATCCACATATATTTATTAATATTTCAACCAATTATGTATTGATTTGATGTATTCCTGTAGCTTCTAATACTTATTGTCGTACTCGCTCTCATTTTTTGTATGTCTGTCTTCTAGTTGGGAAAACAAGTGATTTAAGTTTCGTTACTTGTTTTAATGTGTGGCGGAATTTACTAGAACCTAAAAGTTAGGGGTAGATTGTATCAGTGACCCAATATTTACCCTGAAATAAGTTCTCAATATTGTGGTTTAAGGTGTTGGATATTTAATGAACATATTCCTTTACTGTTATAATAGGCTTATCTTCTACAAACACTATGGCAAACAGGGGGATGTGAGGGGCATGAACTATGGTGTTTGATCAAGAAGTTGGAGATTGCATGGTGCCCTCATGAATTGTTATTTAAGAATTTTTTATTAATATAATTTCTTTTAGAATTCAAAGTGCTTCTAGGATAATATTGTTTCATATATTAAGAGTGTAAGAATATGAGGAGAAAAGCATATCTTGAGTCGTTGATTTGTACGGATGTATGCAGGAATAAAGGTACACCGGTTGAACTTTGTTCGGATACACACAACAAATGCACACACAGAGAGAATGAGAAGCCAGGAAAAATGAAAGTGTTCTATTCTTTTCATTCAGGGAAAAACGAGAAAACTGCACCTATAACCAATGATTTATGGGAACGTGCGAGAGCTATATATGATGATTATGAAAATATTTGTAAAATTGTTTATAGATGATAGTGATTTTGTTAGAATCAATGTGATGGGAGATACAAACATAGCTTCCTGATCATTGACCTAATAGAGTTGTTATCACTCTAATAAAGAATAATACAAATATAAGATATTGTATGTTTTTCATAAGTATTTTATTCTTGGTTTAATATAGAAAACTATTAATGTGGGATAGTTTCATCTCAGAACTCAGAATGGCAACAAAAAATATTATCACTAGATTAAATAAGGGCGACAAATTAAACGGGGATAACTGGGATATTTGGCAGCATAAGGTGTCATATATTTTGGAAAAACAAGATGCTGTTGAGCCACTAATTGTGGTCATGGCCGAGCCTGAGGTAGAAAACTTGGCTCAACATAGGAGAGACCAAGAGGCATTTATGGCATGGAAATAAAAAAATAGTATCACACGAATAACACTTCTAAGTGCTATGGCGGACAATCTAATGTATGAATTTGATAAGCACTCCACTACCCAAGCCATATGAGCTGCCTTAAAAGAAAAATTTGGTGGTGCCTCAAGTACCAAATTGAGAAGGCTTACAAATTAAATTCAACACTTATAAACTAAAGTCGAATACTCCTATGCGGCAGTACTTAGAGAGATAGTCAATATGATCGGTGAACTTAAAGAAGTTGGGTATGATGTTTCTGATGAACAGCAAGTATAGGCTGTAATCAGATCTCTCCTAATAGTTGGGAGTATATGAAAATTAATCTAAACCATAATGAAAACATTGTTAACTTTAATGATGTGGTTAAGTACCTAGTGCTAGAGGCTAAACGTTTGGAGCCTTACAAGTCATTTGGATAGGATTACCTTATTAAGAAAGCTGGTCTTTCAAATTCTAAGCCTAAAAGGGGCAAGAAGCAATAAAAGAAGGGTAGCAAGAGTGGCCCTAAAGTAAAGAAGGTCAAACAACCTTTCAAAAAGAAGGGCAAGAAGAGTGGTAAAAAGATAATTAACCTAAAAAAGATCAAATGTTTTCCCTATCAAAAGATGGGCCATTTTGCAAAGGATTGTCCTGAGCAAAGTGGATGTGATCAAGTACTTGTAAATTATGTGAATTCACATTTTTCTTATGTTTCTAGTAATGTTTTTCTAATGGAAATTGTTTCCTCTTCTTGGATTGTAGACTCAAGCTCCACAAACCACATAACCAAGGATTGTGGATCCTTCATAAAGTACCATCGGTTGCCGAATTAATGCAAGTGGCTTTATGTTGGCAACAATGTGAGGATCAAGGTAAAAGGCATAGGAACTTGCAAGTTAATCTTGCGAGGTGGGAAAAACTTAATTCTCAATGATGTTTTACATGCACCGGACATCCAACGAACTTAATATCAATTGCTTGCCTTTTAGAATTTAGGTTTGTAATTAATTTTCATGACAAGATGTTGACATTATGTATAATTTAACTTTTTATGGTTGTACTTTTCTTTCAAAAAGGTTTTTTATTATGGATATTGCTGACAAAGTTTATTTTCATGATTGCTTTACCACCTTTTCCAATAATGTTGATATGAATATCTGGTATGCTAGACTAGGGCATATTAATCCAAATAGAATGATTAAGCTAGCTAAAGAAGGAATGCTAGGTCCAATTACAAATATAAAAATGTCCTTTTTTGAAAATTGTCTAGCCGGTGAAGTAATAAGAAAACCTTTTGGTAAAGGTGTCACGGCTAAAAATCCATTGCAATTAATCTATTTTGATATATGTGGTCCTATGAGTATAAGGAAAAAACTCGAAGCTTGGTATTTTATTACCTTTATCGATGATTTTTTATGTTTTGGTCATGTCTATTTGATATCACAAAAGTCTGAAGCTCTTGAGTGCTTTAGATGATACATTAATGAGGTTGAAAATTAAATGGACCATAAAATTAAAGCATTACGAATTGACTGAGGATGTGAATACTTGTCTGATCAATTTAAAGAACTCTGTGAAGAAAAAGGAATAATTAGACAACTAACTATTACTGGCACTCCACAACAGAATGGAGTTGCTGAAAGAAGATATAGAACTCTTTTAGACATGGTTAGGTCAATGATGGCACAAGGAAATCTTTCAATCTCGTATTGGGGGGATGCTTTATTGACTGCAACCTTTATACTTAATCGTGTGCCCTCAAAATTAGTTACTTCCACACCTTATGAGTTATATACAAAACGCAAACCAGATTTAAATATCCTAAGGCCATGGGGGTTAGCTGCATATGTCCATAATGATTCCTATAAATATGAAAAATTAGGTCTAAGAGGGAAGAAATGTATCTTTATAAGATACTCTGAGCTATCAAAGGGTTATGTTTTTATTAGTGAAAATGATGATGAAATTGTAACGAAATTTGAATATAAGAATATCACATTTTTAGAAAATAAGTTTCTTAACAGGGGAGAAATTGATCGAACTGTATCTCTTTATGAGACACAGGAGCAAAATAATATAGAACAAATAGATAAGCCTAAATCATGACAAAATGCTAATCTAAGTGAGAGCTCTAAAAGGTCTGCTAGAAGACCTAAAAAGAATCAAAATCTACAAGAGACCCCACTTCGAAAAAGTAATAGAGAAAGCGTGCTAAAAAGATGATTCCAAATTGAGGCTGAAATAGGGTGAAGCATTGATGGTAACTCCTTTAGATGATGATGAGTCATGTTTTATAAATGAAGCTTTATTAGGACCTGCTAAGGATAAATGGAAGAAAGCAATGGATGAAGAAATGGATTCCATAAGGACCAACCAAGCATGTAAATTAGTTGATTTATCACATGACCGAAAAGCTATTGGGAAAAAATGGGTTCTCAAAATCAAAAGAAAAGTGGATGGATCAATTGACAAACATAAGGCTCACTTAGTAGTGAAAAGGTATACACAACAAGAGGGAATAGATTATGAGGATGCATTTTCTCCTATTGCAGGCTTCAATTCTATTAGACTGATTCTAGAAATAGTAAATAGTTTGGACTTAGAGTTACACTAGATGGATGTAAAAACTGCTTTTCTAAACGGTGATATGGATGAAGAAATTTATATACAATAGCCATTAGGTTTCATTGAAAAAGGAAAAGAAGATAAAGTATGTAAATTAAATAGATCAATTTATGGACTAAAATAATCATCCAGACAGTATTTGAGGTTTCACAGAGTAATAACCTCATATGACTTCCAAATAATTGAGGAAGACCATTATGTTTACATCAAGAGGTTCAATAGGAACTTCGTAATACTATCTCTTTATGTGGATGATATTATTCTACTAGCCAAAAATAGTTTAGATTCAATAATAACTATTAAAGAATGGCTTTCATAAAATTTTGAAATGAAAGACATGGGTGAAGAAGAATACATTCTTGGAGTTAAAATCTAAAAAAATTGCTCTAAGAAGCTCCTTCCTCTATCACAAGAGAATTATATAAGGAAAATTCTTGAGCATTTTAATATGAAAGACTATAAACCCATGGATACTCCAGTGGCTTCAAGTGTGAAGCTTAGTCTTAATATAGGTCCTAAAATTGAGATAGCCAAAAGGCAAATGGAAAGAATTTCATATGCTAATGTAGTCAGAAGTTTGATGTATGCAATGATGTGTACAAGACCAAATATCTGTTATGCCGTAGGACTTGTGAGTAGCTACCAATCTAACTCCAGAGAAGGACATTTGTTGGAGCAGCAAGAAGTAGACATGCATTGCCTTACACTTTATGGAAGCTAAGTTTGTAGCATGTACTGTAGTAGTACAAGAGGCTATATGGGTTAAGATATTTTTAGAACATCTTAGGTTTAGAAATGAAAGTATAAATCTAGTGTAATTCATTGTGACAACATTGTAGCCATAGCCTATACCAAAGATCCTAAATATTATAGCAAAACCAAACACATAAACATTAAGTACAATTTTGTAACAGATAATATAGTGCACAAAAGGTTATCACTATAGTACATTTCCACGATATGATAGTAGATCCCTTAACAAAACCCATAGCCAAGGAGATATTTGAGAAACATGTAAGGGCTCTTGGCATGGCTAGATTAACTTGATGTAATATATTAGTTATATTAATGAGAATTTTCATTACTTCCATATGTACAATCGAGAATATATAATGTCCAGTATATCGTAAGGTTGATAAGGTTGACTCTCTCATACAAGCAATTGCCTTTGACATTCAAATCAAAGATGATACACTTGGATTGAGAAGAAACACAAATCATATGTCGTCTTGATCAAAGAGCAAGTCGAAATAAGATCCGTAAGCATACTTGGATTGAGTCATGGGTCCCCATATCCATGATACTTCTAGCCAAACAACAAATTCTTTTAAATTGTCATCATGTGAGATCAATAGAAAAGAAGAATTTGGGTTTAGGTACAGTGAATATATGAACTTAAGTTTGTATGGTGTTAATAATAAATAAAAAATGATGTATGCTCTTACAAGCAAGAGTAACACTATAATATGTGTTTCATACCACATGTGCTTAAGAATCATGTAACATCCTGAAATTTCAAATCTGGAAAAGTTAATTAATTAAGAGATAAATTAGTTAAAAATATGATTAATTTATTTAATTATGTTTTTAGGTGGCTAATTGGATTTTGGGTCATATTTGGCTTTAAATTGAGATAGGATGAAAGTCGGATCAAGTCGGGAGGTATTGGGGGGAGCAAATCCACTTGTTACTTGCTGCGTCGTGAGCCACAGCTTGCGTGGCGTGCGCTGCGGCGTATGGCATAGGAGGCAACTTAAAATTTCAGAAATGATCAGAAATTGACAGAATTTAGGGTAGAAAAAACCTAGAGCAGGAAGG